CACGCGAGTGAGAGCCAGTGATATAGTGAAACCACTTTGTAAGATGCGTTCCGTCACGATAAGAGGAACACGAGGAACGCGAATCCATACAGATATGTATGCTGATTCAATTATTTCTGTCATGTTGCGGGCCACCCAGGAAGATGAACCTATGTAAATACATTCAACGAGTCGGGGCACCAGATATAAACAAAATATTCGCGTGTTAAAGAATGTAAGAGGGTCAGCAAACGCTGCCATTAGCTGAGACTGACATCAAATATTACATAGTTGTTAACTTTGGAGATGTATTTGCATCAGTTCACAATAACTTGTCAAACGTCAAAAAGTTTATAGTATTATGTATAGGTTATTCTTGTCTGATTCGCAATTGTTGCAATTTATTTGTAGTATCTGTGTTCGAATATTTATTCTATCAGTTTCGTGTTATATTTGTGTTTGTTTCGTTAGTTCATATTAATATTTGTAATATTTGTATACATATGTCTTAACATTACTATTGCCCATTAATATTAAATATTATGGCTTGCAAAGTACCCTGTGTATTTATTTATATATAATAATACGACTCGTTAAATGTATTATATGATAGATGATATGTTTTCTTTCATATTGACACTTCTTTCTCAGTTATGACGCTATTATTAGATTCGTATATAATTAAATGCCGTTTAACTTTAAAAATCGACGTTCTTTATGGAATATATAATGCAAGAGTTTTAATCAACAATATGTTCACCATTATTGCAAATGGGTCACTCAATGTCAAATAATTCAACGTTCTGCAGTTGGAACCAGTTTCGGAGAGACAATGACTCACTGTTTATTTATGACGATGCTTTTTTTATGTATTCAGCTAATATCATTCTTCTAAATATATTTTGGTCTATTTCCGCAGATACTTCAGAATTTTCGAGATACGAAGGCTTTCTGTTGATGCTAACATAGATCGAGAAAAAAGAATTTAAAAGAATTATCACGATATCGTTGCTAAGTTACTATATCAATATTTTATATCGACTCCTGGCAGGTTTAGTGAAATACTTTTTATAATTTCTTGGTAAATAGTATTAGCCACGCAGTTTCAGTGTTACATAATTAAGAGTAAACAGTCCTTGAAGGTTGTAGTTTTTCATCCTATTGAACTCTATTCCAAGGTAAATATTTCGTAATAAATCAATAATTAAAGAAGTAATAAGTCAATAATAAATTTGTGCGTACCAGAATATTCCTAAACTTATTTCTATCACACTATCTCTTTTTCCAACTGAATTATCAAGAAATAAATGTAAACCATTTACCATTTAACTAATTTCAAATTAATTGCTTCTATTTACTATTTATCGGTTTCCTCGTTGAAATTGAACGACTCTGAATAAATTCTAATAAAATGAACTGTCATTTTCTCGATTATTCACACGTTCCTCAAATGCTTTTTAAAAATTTCAAACATTTTGTACAATCCTTCAGCGTTCACTTAATCGTGTTAGACGTGTCGGTTAAAAATGGATGCGCGTAGGAGTTGTTACATAAAACAAAGTGTTAAGAGGGAATTACTTTTCGATGAATCAACATTATTTGCTAGATATAGAAGATCCGTGTTGTAGAAATTGACGATCACGTAATTCGGTGTAGGCAAGGTCTTGACGGCGACCTTACCGAAGCCCCATCCCAACGTCGGTCTATTCAAATCAGATAGGACCTCCTTTCATCCACTCACGCTAGACAAGCTGATTAAGTCTTCCCCGGTGCTATTTTCGTATACACTTGATTAAAAAACAGGAAATTCACGTTCACGATTCCCGGAGTCCACGCTGTTGCCGTAATAAACGTGGATTCATTTTCGCCGAACGAAAAGCTTAATCAAGCTCTATCGAATTTCAAGACTTAATTTCGGTTTCGACATGATGCTGCGCAGGAACTTATTTGCAAAGAAACGACATCTTTGTAGAGAGATATCAACCAAACCTAACCCAGGTGAGATTAATTTGTTCAGATTTTAATGCAGTACAAGCAACGTCATTCGTACATGAATGATTAGATAATATGTTATAATATATTCACAAACAACTGTCCTAGTTTCATTTTTATATCTAAATAAACTATTTTAATAATAAAATGTTTATACTATATTTCGCAATAAGCAAATGATGTCTGCTACAATAAGATGCATTGGGAACTAAGAAAAAATAAATTAAGGAATTTACTCTTCAGTTTTTAAAGGTTCGGTGACAGAAAACAGCGTTTCAATAATTTTGTTGACTTCGTCTAGCAGTCTTAAAAAATGTTTAATACTACCGCGGTTCTCAATTTATCTATGCACTGGGAATATTATTAAGAAACTAGGAATTCATAGCCTAGTACTAATTTTCTTATATTATTTTCGAGAAGAGTATTCTTAACAAAAGGAGAACTCGATTAAATTGGAAAAGATTAAACAAAAAATACAGTGCTAAAAGAACGAAAACGTGATTGGGTCAAAAAAGACCCGGAGAGTATAGTAGGGTTAAATTGGTGTTATCGTTCCATTTTTGTACCAGCCTCCACTTGTACATCCGTATCGAGGATCGGGCTATTGTCTACCCTCAGACGGCTTCTATTTATAATTTCATCTTCAGCGATCGAGAACGTGGTTCAGGGTCTCGGTTTCAGAGGAATCCCCTGATAGTCAGTGGGCTGGATAGAACGAGACGGTACGGTGACGGCGATGCAACAGGGTATCGAGTCATTAAATTTGGTACACTTATGTTCCATTCTATACGACGACGCAGTGATCGATATCATCAAAAAATCGAACAAAAGTCATAACTAATCTATTTCCGATCTATAACCCCTGGCACTTTTTTTTTAAAGAGGATATGAAGGTCTATCGATTGGTGAATAAAAAGTACAAATTCAGTAACAATGTCGAAATGACGTTGATTTTTTCAGTAAGTTTCAGGTCGAAATTTTAATAGTCAATTGATATGTTCCATTGAAATTATGGGCAATATCGTAAACTATGTTTCATTATTAATATTTCGTGAGACAAAAGAAATGCGTAGATTTTGCAGTTCAAATTTTTGACTTTTCTTCGCTAGATCGAACACTGCGGGACAACTGAAAGTGCGGCCATTATACCGCTCAAATTGGTACATCTCTGATTAGAAACTTGTACAGTCGCTCATTGTTACGCGGCACCGCGCCGACGTATGCGATGATACAATTCCCTGTTCCCGATGATTTCCGAGGAACTTCTTGTTCTGATCTGATTAACCCTTTACTACGAATAAAACGAAAATAGGAAGAATATTTTGTAAAAAGAAAGAAGAGATTGTTTTCGAAGATAATTAAATTTATAGATTAAAATTGGACACCCTATATACAATCCCTGGTCAAAGAATTAGAGTGATTCATGATATTCAACAACTTTCGTGCTGTTAACAAAGCGTAAAGGTCCAGGCACAATTAAATAATAACGTTTATCAATCATTAAATTAAACAATATAAATTACTGATGCACGTATGCGCGATACATGTTGTGTATCCGTGTTGTGTAATGTATGACATGATATCAACTTTGTCATATAAAATTACACCTTGGTCGCTTGTTTCATGAAAACTGGGACACCCTATAAGCTACATAAATCTACAATATAGAGTACTGCAACCATATCGAGTCAGTGATTGGTTGATCAAGCATTTCAATCGTGAGTTATGCAAGAACAGAATCTATAAAGTTTTAGAACCTGCCGCCGGTAGTTGCAAAAACGTCGCGTGACATTTCGTTCGCTATTGTCTACTCGTTACGACTCGATAGAATAAAGTGATAAAGAAATAGAAATGCTTTAGACGTTGCAACGCTGAACGCGAACAGTTTCTACGTCAGCAGTCGGTCGCGCGGGGATTTAGCCTTTTTTGATCCTCCTTCGATAACGGTTACAGTGAACTTACTTGCAGTGGACATTTCTTTGCGTTTCATGCAAATCGTTCACGGTAATAATCGGCACGAGTTTAATAGCAGCGAAAGAAAGTGATACGGCAAAGGGTTAACGTTTGTGCAAGATGCGAATAGTATTGCTAAACATAAGAGTGCCCTAAGCCGTCGAAACACACCGAACGCTTATTGATCTGCTCCTACGTGAGAGGAGAGAAGAGAGACCAGGAGTCCAAAACGACGCTCGCAGTGGTCGTGGATTCTGGATACGCTAGTGACCCCGACGAAGGTCCCCGTTGTACGACCTCGGCACTCAAAACTATGTCAAGGACGTCAGGAAGAAGCAGGAAGACACGCTCCACGCTAAACTGTCCGAATCCTTCAACAGTTTGACGATTGCTGAAGTTTGGATAAAATTAATCGGTCGGCCATCTTGACACATTGCACGCGAATACCGAGATACCTGGCGTGTCATGGATCGTTTGAATACAGAAACATTTCTAATTAACTCTTTCACAGTTCATTAACCTCTTGCCCTATGATTTCTTTCTGAACTGTGATCGATCTAACCGCTTTGTTATTAATACTTTATTAAACATAAGAGAAAATTCCAGTGTTATTCTATGTCAATTTGTGCTCTAAGGTATAATCATTGATGCCAGAGGAATAATGTGCTATTTGCATTCAAACACATTGAATAATATTTAATTTTGTTAAATAGTTAAGTAGTTTGTTAAATTCTATTTGAAATCTTCATCACGAGTCTGGCACGATATTGTAGAACAAGGCGTTGACACTAAAATTACCGAGCAATTAAAGCGACTTATTTCCTGGTTTTATAAAAAGTAGAACAATACGTTTCTTGATTTATTTATTATTTTTCTTTTTATTTTATACGTTTCCTTTCTTGTTTTATTTATTATTATTAATACAATGATTACTGAATGTTAAGATTGAAATTATTTGCTCATGATGATATATTACTATTTAAAAACGAAATTAGGTATCAAACACGCATGAATAACAAATAACGACATAAGTTAACATTTCATTTGTAATTTTAATTTTGTTTACTGGGTGTAAGTTCATTATAATGAAACAGTGGTACTGAGAACGTGACAGTAGATTTTTCTGCCCGGCCAAATGTACGTTTATTCTTCCAGAAATTTTCCTCGTATTTCATTTGACCCTCTTCTTCTTCCATGCGTATGAAATGCGTTGCCTTGTTAAAATCGAGACAGACTTTCCGACCGGTTGCACTGGAAAATCATTTACGGATAAAACCGCCGCGTAAACCAAGGGATGTGAAAGGATTGCTAGCAACGAGAAGGTTCAAATTTCAAATAACATGCATCGCTCGAATTTAACCATCAGTAACCTATTCTCCGTTTAAACAAAACGTTTCACAGTTTCTCCCAGGAAGCCTTATTTCTTAACATTCCCCGCCCTCAGAATTTGAAATTAATAAATTCATAAATTAGCCTATCAAAAGTGCTCCATGAAAAACCAACGAACCTTGAAACGATCCCGTTTTCATGTATCATGAAAAAGAAAGAATACGTTTCGTCCGATAAAACGTATAATTTTATAGTAAAACGTCGAAGATCATCTTTTACATGGGTGCGTAGCTTTAACCAGAAACTTTAGGATCAAACGCAAAATCCAAAATTCGTAAAAACACCTGCCAAACATCAAATTTCTCAGGATGGAGAAGAAAATTACCGAACATTAAGTTAAACGTAACGTCACAATAATGTCATCTTTCAATATTATCAGTGTTAAAGATGACTATCATCAGCAATGACCACTTACAAAAGGAAAATTACAACTTAAATCGTATGCTACAGAATAATAATGCAGAAAATAACCTTTCAGTGGCATTCGCAGTGTTTTTTTATAAAAACTCTTCAATTACAAAATTTGAGGTGTGCCTATCGAGTATCTCAATGAACGAAAACGTCGCACTTCAGTGACCAGGCTGGCTGGCGTTCGACTGCGCGGCGCCTTTGTGCGGGTATTTCCCGTAAATTTTGCCACTTCTTGTCACCTTGTAGTGAATCTGCGGTATTTGTATGACGGACGCCGAGTTGGTCACGTGGGGCCCGTCGCCGGTGCAGAATCGTTTCACCTTCCTAATTCCGTGCTTGTGTTTCCGTTGGAAAATAGGATTCTCTTGTTTCAACCGTTGCTGGTGTAGTTTCGACAGCGTCTCCGTCGATGAGGCCTTCGAGTTGGTTGGTGGCAAGATGTTGCGTCTCTTCAGCAGCCTCAACGGAGAAATTGCCAAGATCGCTTTGCTCATGCTCCGACTACAACGCCAGAGAATCAGCGCCGTGGCGAACCACGCGAGCCACGGGCCGGCTTTTGGACCCGGAGCTGGCTCCTTCGACCAGAGAAATAGCATCTGGAAAATTATATCGAATCAAATGAAACAGATATGAGTCGCTCAGAAAGCAATGCGGATTAGAAAATTGAGAAAATTAATGTTTTGACTTCTGATATTATTATACAACATGTTTAAAACCTATAAAAAGAACAGCTTTCTAACTTAGAAAAACGAAGAAACGAGTAAATCGTTTAATAACTAGAAAGAATATTAGTTATTCTATTACAATTTACACAAATCAGAAAATATCCATGTTATAATATGACATCATGTAACATTTTTTAGATGTTTAATTATCCTTCTTAGGATAAAATTCGCATGGTAGATGCAATAATCTTAGCTTAGTTTCGTCAACTTTGATCACTAAACTATTTAATGCTACAAATAATGTCGTAGCGGAGCTTATAAAGTGCAAAGAGTAATGAAGTAGACAATTAAATTCTTTTCCCAAATATAAATGCTTGTTAGAATATTCTTTCTGTCTCGGAAAGGTGTAATCGAAAAATGTTGACAGTTAACCCTTTGGGTATGAGAATTTTTCGAAATATTTAAGTAAATCAAATAAGAAATTAATAGGACTATATAACATAGATTTTGGTAAAATCCCAGATCAGCGATTTTTCTCAATTTTGGCAACTTGGGTACAATTTTCCTGTAGAAGGCATTAGTTTATCTTTAAACCTAAAAATCAGCCAAGGATCTGAAAAGGAACGCAACTTCGTAATTATTTCTTAAACAGCATGAAATTAAATGTTCCTAATAATTCTGCAGAAATACTGTATACAGTTTACTAAAAAAAATCATTACTTAATTTGACAAAATACATCATATATCTATTTAAACGGATACGTTGCGACAGTGTGCGCGTCGAACAGTGAAATTTGCGACAGAAAAATGTAAGCAAAGCG